AGAACTAAACGGAGCATTATTTGGGGCTTCATTAAGCATCATTAATAAATAATAAAACTCCCAATTTATAGTAAACCTTAAGCATGAAAAGAAATCTCCAGAAGGAATGCTCTCCATTAAGTTAAGTATAAAATAACTTCTAAAGATAAACTTTGAAAGCTAAAAGAAACCATAGAGTCCATCATTTATAGGTCACTTAATGTCCCCATGGTTGCAGGAAAATACATGTGCATAGTATCAGGTGCTGCCCTTCAATGTGCCAAATCGCAACGTCATCAAGGCCAATCATGACAGGCAAGACTACAGATGGGCATCTGAGCAGGGGTGGCAGTCCTGTTCCCTTGGTCCCTCTGCTGGCTTAGATCTGCTTATTCCTCGTGCTCTTTCTGGATACAGTCTTGACACCAGCCAATATCACCTCCAGAGAGTGTGTGAACGCGGGCTCCTCTTAACCCTGCAGCTCTAGGGCGCTGGTTTCACCACCCCCACCATGTGCCTATCACATGAACCATAAAGAACTTAACAACCATACAGCCAAGTACACCTGTTAGCCCCTTTTAAGATGAATTCATTGAAACACTTGACCCGGGTCACTGATGCACATGACCGGTCTTAAATAAATCAATGATGCTCAATATTCAAGAGACATTTAGAAACACCGAAGTGCTTATTTAAAATATGTATTCTTGCTGTGTCCCTCTCTACCATCAAAATTATGATCTAACAAATCTATGGTAGAGCCAAGGGATCTGCATGATAACAACTTCCCTCCCTTCTCCACCCCCATGATACTAATTCAAGTTTCTTTCTGAGAAACACAGAATTACACTAAGCTCCTTCAGGGACAGACCGTTATATATTATGCATGGACTAGAGTAGACATTTAGTAAATACTTACTGATACATTTTTATTCCAACCGTCATTTTTATTGGTAGATTATTAGACATGGATACAGTGCTTTCAGCGACACATAACACAAAGTCCAACCAAAATGGTTGATTAGCTCACATTTTTAAAAATCTAGGGTTTGGTTCATTTAGAGGCTTAACCTCATCAAGCAGGTGTTTTCTATCCTTCCTCCCTGCCATCCGATTCTCCCTCATGATCACAAGATGGCTTCAGCAGTTCCAGACATCACACACAGACATGACAGCTTCCAGCAAACAAGGGGGAAGTTTCTTCTTATGTATCTCTTCTTGAAAGCGAAGAAACCTTAGCCAGAAACCCCACAAGAGGTTTTTCCCTTTCACCTGACTGGCCAGGATTGCTTCATATGCCCCTATTTAAACCAGTGGAATCTCAACCTCGAAGAATGAGACCACCATGATTAACTTGCCCCCTGCACCAAGGACATGGGCAATGGGAGGATGAACCAAAGCAGGCAGAAGCAGTGGGGTTGGGAGGGTGGCTTTTAGGAGTTAACCACGAATGTCTGCCACGCTGAGAACACTTAAGAGCATACAAATACTAAATTTTGACAGGAACGCAGCATAACTTACAAGTATCTGTATAGGATTGTAGACTAGGGACCAAACACTCTTTCACTGGTACATTCAGGCTGAAGATTGTGCAGAGGTCAGAAAGAAGCCCCCACTCGAGGAAGATAAATCTGCAGCCTGCCACTAGGGTATGTGTCACCATCAGCAGGGCCTGACATCCTCTTCCCTTCCACCTGTGACTCATACTTCCATCCAGGGGAGCACCGTCAGCATGTTGGGGCTTTAGAGGAATGGATTTTATATATATACGAGGTTCCATTTGCTAATTTTCCAGAACATTTTTGAGCCAAATGAGTGGAAGAGGGAATTTAATGAAAGCCTTAGCAAAGCTTTGTTTCCCAGAGGTGCAGGTGAAAGGAAAGAGGAGCCTCACCCAGGCTGAGGCTACTTGGTACTGCTTAAGAGAAGAAACTAAAACCCTTGAGGCTCTCACAACCTGTGGCTTTATGGCACCATATCCAGCACCCCCCCCCCCAATTTCCAACAATTGAAAAGTCCAGCTAGAAAAACCAGTCAGTCAATAAATACTTACTGACTACCTACTACATGTCAGGCACTCCCCTCAGTGTTGGAGACACCGTGGAAAACAAATTAGATAAAGCCCCTGTCCACAGGACACTTTCATTCTAGCGATGGAAGGCAGAAAATGACACAAGTAAGTAGATAATTTTAGATAATGACAAATGCTGGGGAGAAGATGACACGGGGTGTTATGCTGGACAGTGCTGAGGGGAAGACTTACCTGAGGAGGGGATACTGGATTTGAGACAGACACCATGAGAAAGAGGCGGCAATGAAGTGACTGCAGGGAAGAGCATTCCAAGTGGAACAGCGAGTGCCTGGGCTCTGAGTCAGGACCTAGTTCGGCGAGGACAGATGGAAGATTCATGTGGTTGAGTAAGAGAGAATGGATGGATGAGTGGGAAAAGCTGAGGTTGGAAATGAGAGCAAGGATTTTATTCTCAGAGGATGGATAAGCCATTGGAGGGTCTTAGACTTTTAGAAGACCACTCTAGCTGCTGGTGGAGGGTGCACTTTTTGCTCAGACACAGAAGTAGAGGAGTTAATAGTGGCCAGGACCAAGAAAGGAAGGAGGAACTCAGGAGGGAGTGGATATGGACCCCAAGGACACCTCCATGTCTCCATGTGTCATTTCTGCTTCCAGGCCATTAGCTCACAGGAGTAGCACTAATCAATGCTTCCCCTGCTTCTGCTTATTATCTCTCGGATTAGAGGAACATAGAAGGGTTAAGCTTAATATTTAATTCTGGAGCCTCATAGATGAATTTCAAATTTTGACCCCGAAATCTGAATTCTGTGACCATTCCTTCTGTCTGGTAAATTTCCTCATTCTGGCCTCCCAAACCATGAGTTCCTTCCTCAGCCATTTCATCTGTCATATGTATCCCATCTTTTTTTCTTTATTTCAACCATTATAGTTTTTACACCTAATATTTTTTTAAAGATTTTATTTATTCATGAGAGTCACAGAGGGGGGGGGGCAGAGACACAGGCAGAGGGAGAAGCAGGCTCCATGCAGGGAGCCTGAAGCGGGACTCGATCCTGGGTCTCCAGGATCACACCCTGGGCTGCAGGCGGCACTAAACTGCTGCCCCACCAGGGCTGCCCTACACCTAATATTTTTTACTTGTTTACTTTTCCATGTTTTCCACTTTTTAAAATTTTCATTCTACTAATATCTTCCCTCCTTTTAATGTTTATTAGCCTTTTTAAAAATGTCTTGTTGCATATAACCTGGTATTTCTCTTATGTAGGAATCTAAAATCTAGCAGATTATTTGTGGGCTAGTTGGTTTTGGAAAACACTGTGCTTCTCAAAGGTCTTACTGTTTTGGCCAGTGAGTTGATTTCCTGGGGGTTGTGAGCTCCAGTAAACTCAGGGGGCAGGGTTTGGATGAGCACCGGGCACAGGAAAACCAGGATCTGATGGACCACTCCTCATCCTACAAAATCACTTGTCCTCTCAGGTCTTCACCTTTGCTCCTCAGGAAGAAGTAACTTTAGGAGACCAGTTGCTTTCCCTCTTCTGGGGCCTGTGAGTAGGACGGTGTAAAAACAAATGCCCAAGGTCAATTGTTCCTCACATTTTTTGTTACTGTTATTTCAGCTTCTTGCCAATGCAGGTCGTCTGCCTTGTCTGATCTGACTCTTGAGGACACTTAAAACTAGAATCTGAAATTTCACACAAATAGAGCATTTGTCCCAAGTCTCATTAAGGGGAAGAAGCAAAATCAGAGCTACACCAGTCCTTCTTCCCCACTGTATCTCCCACAGGCTTGCTGAGCTATCTCTTGCCCCAGACCCAAGTAGCCATCTGACTGAGGTTGGGTTGCCCAGGAAACAGAGATTGGTGAACAGAAGGTTCAAATGGAGTGTTCCAGCGTCACTATGGGGAAGGGAAGGAGAAAGAATTGGGAAGAAAGTATCATCATACAATTCCACAGGGAGCTCTGAAGCTAGGATGGTCCTTGCAAGTTGTTCTGAGATAGAGCACGTGTGCCAGTCCTTCATACATTGACCAATCACTAATTTCAAGCTACCCCAAGAAGTGGGCATCGCCTTGGGCAAGGTGACTCTCTTCACGGAGACAGCACTCCCAACACTTGGGGGAAATGTCTCCCCTCCTTGAAAAGGGAATTGGGGGGCACACCATGGCACCTACTCCACCATCACCCTACACATTCACCGGTTTAAAACGGCCCCAGCTGCCAAGGGTTTTTTGGGGGTTTTTTGTTGGTTTTTTCTTTGTACAGTTTTCTAATTTTCCTTTCTAGATTCTCCAAGGTTTTAGGAGGAATTGAGGACAGGAAGCCAGCAGTCATACTAGGTCAGCATTTTGATCAAGACTCAGGAAATTTTACTCCTGAGGTACTGTGTAACTCATTTCCTTTCTTCAGAGACGAGGTCACAAAAACAAGCAAAGTAAATTCAATAAAGAAAAAGACAAAACAAAAGTTGCCTGTCCTTCAAGAAGCTTATCTGTGAAAGGAAAGAATAATACATTAATACCAATAGGGGATGTCAGCATCTTGCATGTTTCTTTACCAAAATACTAAAGAGATCTAGCGTCTCCAATTTCTTTTTCTAATTTACTGGGTTTACTTTTTCACTAAACTGATTCTTTTGTAAATCTCTGCCTTTGATCTATTATTTTTTCCAGCTTAGAAGGCAACACTGTCCTCAATGTGGAATTTTCAGGTATTGAATTTATGTAGATCCAGCTTGGCTTGTTAGAATAGTGGGTAAAATATAGGAAACATGAACAATGCATAATGTAAGACCAAGGCAGAAGTCAGATCTTTTTCTTAGATGAGACACAAACCAAGATTCTAACCAGGCAGGTGCTTAGAGTCCTTCTAAACTTCCAAACTTCTCCCAGGTGAGACAATACTGGTGTAGAAGTGAAGATGCAAGTTCTGGGTCTGGCTCCTCCAACTCATTCTTTTAACACCGCTGGTGTTGTTTCCTTTTCCTGACCAGGGGTCATTCTTTTCTTCCTGTGATTCCAAACACCAACAGAAGTCATTTAGAAGACAGACTGAACAACCAGGAGCGTACCATCACCTTTCTCCTTGAACAAGCCTTCCGCATCAAGGAGGATATCTCTGCTTGTCTTCAGGGAACACATGGCTGTCGAAAAGAGGAGTCGCTCGCCAGGAAGCTACTGGAAAACCACATTCAGACCATCACGAGCATCGTCAAAAAACTCAGCCAAAATATTGAGGTAGTTCTTTATTTTCTATATGTTGACATCATTGCTTGTCAACGATTGTCAACCACCAATACCATCTTTCACCTAGAGAAGTGAATCACTATGGCTTATGCTTAAATGATTACAATGTGTTGCCCCAGAGGAAAACAGTTCAACTTTTCAACTGCTCATTTATGCCAAAAAGTAGAAGGAAATTCTATTCAAAAAGCATTTAATATCTATTCTGTGACAGCAGAGAGAATTGTTTAACAATATGTCAGACATTGTGCTTAGGTGCTCATTTTAATCTAAATCTCCAAGATTCTTTTCATGTAATCATTTCAAATAGAGGTTTTCATAATGATGGTTCATAGACCCATCACAGTCTGACCCCAGTAATCCATCTCTCCATCTCCTAACCCTGGTCTTTCTTTCACTGTGGCTCCCAGCTCTTTCTGGAACATACCAAACATGTTCTGGCTTCAGGGCCTTGCCACTTACTACTCGCTCTGGCTGAATCATCTTCCGCTAGACATTCCTATGAAATGTTCTTCATTTCCTTCAAGTCTCTGCTCAGCTATCATCCTATCAGAGAGGATTTCCTTGACATTTCTATAAAATAGCACCTTTCCCCACCAGCAGTCATAATCTCCCTTAAACCTTACTTTTTAGATATCCATAGCACCTATCCATCTGATAAGCAAACTACCATAGTCTGTATTTATTAATTGCTTGTTTTCTCCTTCTAATATATAAACTCTGTGAAGGCATGGATTTTGTTTTCTTCATCACTAAATCCCACACCAGATGGCAACAGAACTTGGTAGGTGGTTAGCACTCTACATATTTCCTGAATGAATGATATTCAAGGTGTTAAAGGAAAAATAGTTTCTGATCAAAGGAGAAATTATCTGGGTTAAACCAAGATAAATAGGTTTTTTTACTACAGGTCTTTCAGTATTCTTAAAGTGCCAATGGGCCTGATGAATCTGGGTTAGCAACTTGCAGGCAAGGATCCCAGAGATTGATTACTTTTGAGGAAACTGACTAAAAGTTTGCAGAAGGATCATGAGATTTGATAACAATGTCTTCCCACAATAAATATCTTCTTTTACTATCAGAGAATATAGTGGATTTGACAAACAAACAAAATTCATGCAATTAACCCAAACAATGCCTTCCTTAGGACTTTATAAGGCTAAGGACATCTATAATTTGTTTTCCATCTGTAGGGTCTGGCAAACACCATAATGCATTAGAGGGAGTATAGATTAAAAATTAAAATAAGATTTTAAAAAATCTTAGTGAACTTTTAAGAGATATTTTATTGGTATTTAGCATATACTGAACTGACCCCAGTGCTTAAGTCAGTGAACTTCTCAAAGTGGTCAAAGGTTGTTTCTAGGCATACTAGTGTTAAGAAAGTGACAAGAGGTTAGTGGCTCAGTGCCTTTAAGATAATGACAAAATCAAGTACAGCACTAGTGCTAAATTAAGAAACCAATTTCAAAGTCAAAACTTGTTGGTAACTGAAAAGAAAATAGCATTCTCAGAAATATCAAAAATGCTTCTAGGCTTCTAGAATGTTCTATATTTTGATCCAGGTGGTTGTTACATGGTTGGTTATATTTGTCAAAATCCATCCACATATACACTTTAATTCTTTTAACACATATGAATTATACCTCATTAAAATACTCTTAACATTAAGGGGGAAACTTTTCCAGATCTCCAAGTCTTGCTAAGAACTTCTTTTCCTAGAATAATTGATTGTCTTAGATAAGCTCTGAAAAAAGACAAAACATTTTCCAAAAACTCTAAAATCTCAAAATATTTGCCATCCTGTTAAGGGGTTGGTGTATAGAGCGAAAATGAGGAGAACTGGTCTGTGTAGAAAACTGAATTAGGAAATATCTGAAGATAACGTATTTAAAATATTATAAAGAAGAAACTATTAGGCTACTTCCAATAAATAAGACTATAAAATGCCAAGTGCTTTACAAAGAAATAGATGCTGTTCAAGTATTTTTTTAAAAACCTAAACTCCTTAGCCAGGTCAGCCCATTGCAGACTGACCAGCAAGATAGGTTCTAGTGAGCTGAAACTTGACTTGGGCCTTTGAAAAGAATGAAAAAAAATGTTTTTATCAACCATAATTGCAACAGTTAAGTTGCTTGGTCCTTTTTATAATCAAATTATTTGGCTTGCAAGCTGGTAACTAATTACAAACTTTAAAAGTAATTTAAACTCAAGAAAAGGAAAAAAATAAAAAATAAATAAACTCAAGGAAAGGGAATGTTATGTATAGCATTGCTTTCTTGGATTTTTTTCCCCCTTCAACTTATAAAAGCAATGCTTTTTCATTAGAATCATTTTGAAAGCTTAGAAAAAAATTTTAAAACTGGGGCGGGGGAGGTGGTGGGCAGGGATTCTCATCATTCCACCAGCAAATGACCATTTCTACAAACACCCAGAGTCATTTCCCTCAAATCCTTCCATTTAGAAAGCTGAGACTACATTTGTAAGCACAATCTTTAATATAAAATTATATTATAAACTCTAACATGTCATTAAAGGTCTTTGCATGGTGCATATACCATGATTTGCTAAATCATTATCTTAATATTAAAATATCTTTGTGCATTAATGTATGTCTGTATTTGGCTTATTTCCACAGTATATATTCTTAGAAGTGAAACTCCAGGGTGTGAACACTGAAAGCTCTTGATGCGTGCTGCCAAGCTGGTTTCCGGAAAGTTTATGCTTACTTACGCTTCCATTAGCATTACATGAGAATGCTTTTTCACTGCACCCATGGCAGCATTGTGATTTATTATTTTAACTTTGCTAATTTGATGGGATAGAAATGAGATCTTTCTCTTTTTCTCACTTTTTAAAAGTGACTATAACAATTTGCATTTTCTCTGTCAGTCATCCATTAATATATTTTACCAATTTATCTTTGGAGATAAATCTTTTATCTTTTAGTACTTTTTAATTTTTATCGATTTGATGAAATGTTTTATTAAGGATAATAGCTGGTGGTGCCCTGGTAAATGTTTAACAGCCCAGCAATCAAATACCTTCTGGAGAATAAAAACTTGATTTGTAATGTTTGCCTATTTCCATGGTGTTAATGCTCTCATTGGGATTGATTTCAAACACCAAAACACCAAACACAAAGATGGGAAAAGATAGGCATAATTGGCTTTCTCCAAGAAGTGTATGTTGATTGTAGCACAGAACTGAAATCCTGGGCAATAATGTCTGTTATGTTTTTCCAGTTTGTTGTTTATATCTTAGTTACACTTACAATGTATCTATTAAGTTTAAGTTTATAAGGTTAAACATTCCAATATTTTGCTCTGTGATTTCTCTCATTTTTAAGAATTGAAATTTCTTCCTTTAGGACTAAAATTACCTCTGCTATTTTTATGGCTTAGCTTTTTTTAAGAAAAGTTTTTTTTATTTATTAAAAGTTATTTCATTCATTTATTCATTCATTCATTTATTTGAGAGAGAGAGAGAGAGAGAGAGAGAGAAAGCCAGAGAGCATAAGCAAAGGGAATGGCAGAGGGAGAGCGAGAAGCAGGCTCCCCTCAAAGCAGGGAGCCCCATGCAGGGCTCGATCCCAGACCCCAGGATCATGACCTGAGCCAAAGGCAGACACTTAACCTTCTGAGCCACCCAGCAACCCCATGGTTTAAGTTAATATTTTAAATCTATTTTTCTAAAATCTATATTGATGTGTTATGAGATAAAGATCTAAATTAATTCTGAATAAATAACCAGAGATCCCAACACCATTTGTGAAATTCCTCCCCCACTGTTTTGTGAGCCTCCGGTATAGCGTATCTCTTTCTTAGATTTACCAAGATCTTCGCTACATTACATTGATCTATTTAGGTATGCATATCTATTTAGCTACATTGATTCATTTATCCTTATCTCATATATTTTAGTGTTTAGTAGGACAAGTTCCCTCTCATCACAAGTCTTTACCAAAACAAAGCAAAACAACATCTATCACTAGGGTCTACATATCTGTCTCTCCTCTCTCCCCAGTAATTCACGTGTTGAAATCTAACGTCCAATGTGATGGTATTAGGAGGTGGGGTCTCATGACTAGGACTAGGGCCCTTCTAAAAAAGACCCCACAGATCTCTCTAACCCCTTCCACCACATGAGAACACAATAAGAAATAGGCAGTCTGCAACCAGAGAGGGCTCTCACCCAGAACAGGACCATGCTGATGCTGACGTTCTGACCTTGGACTTCAGCCTCCAGAACTGTGAGAAATAAACTTCTGTTCTTTATTAGCTACCCAGTCTGTAGTATTTTGTTAGAGCAACCTGAACGGACTGAGAGAACTACATGCAAGCAAAAAACAAATGAAAACAAAACTCTAGCTAGTGTTCTTAATACTTCTATGTTTTCAGTTAAAATTTCATTTGCCTTTGGGTTGTCTCAACCTGCCAGTTTACAAATGAGAAAGAGCCTGTATATGATCTTTAAAATTTCTATCATTCATTTGCTACAAATATCCCTCTTTTCCTCAAAAAATTCATAAATGTGGATTCCTGGGTGGTTGAGTGTCTGCCTTCGGCTCAGGGCATGATCCTGGAGTCCCAGTATCGAGTCCTACATTGGGCTCCTTGCATGGAACCTGCTGCCCGCCCCCCTCTGTGTGTCTCATTAATAAATAAATAAAATCTTAAAAAAATTCATGAATGTAATTTAAACATAGTTCAGGCCTTGGTCAAATATAGCAACTAAAATGTTTTCCCAAATCGTGAACTTAACCTTTTCTTTATGAATAAATACAAATTATGTCACGTATCTCCACTTTACAGTAGAATTTGTTTGAATGTCAAGATAGAATTTTTTTCTATGGACCAGCAGAGTTTTTCTTTTCTTTTTAAATTAATATTTACTTATGAGTCTGGAGAAATTTTAAACTACTATTCTTGGAACCACCAGCCTGGTAGTGTATAAGACAGGCTTCTCTATTTCAGAATACCAAGAATTACTGAAGCCATGACTAAGGATACACAGGGGCAAAATGTGAACCCACTTCAGGCCTCTGTGTTCTCTAAAACACTGAGAAAATAAACCTTTTTTCACTCCGAGTGAAAAAGTCTGATTCACATTTGCTTTTGTTAGTTGTATTAGCTTCACTGTGCTTCTGAGTCAGTCTGTAAAGTCAATCAGGGTCTTGCCTGATACCATATGAAAGATCCCTTTTTCTAAACCTACCACCAATTCTGAAATAGGTTATTGTGAAAAGCTTTTATATCAGTGATGGCCAAATGGAAACCCATAGCTGTATGAGCACAATAAGTATGTTTTATTTGGCCCATATCATGTTTATAAAAGATTTTGACTAAGATGTCTGTACTTAAAAATTGAAAGATTTAGGGGTGATTGGGTGGCTCAGTCAGGTAAGCTTCCAACTGGGTTTCAGCTCTAGTCATGGTCTTGGGGTTGGGGGATGAGGCCTGCATTGGGCTCCATGCTCAGTGGTAAGTCGGCTTGGGATCTTTTCTCTCCCTCTGCCCCTCCCCCCTCACTCATGCTTGTGCTTGCTTGCTCTCACTCTCTCTGAAATAAACAGATCTTTTTTAAAAATGGAAAGATTTAACATAAAATCTATATTTGGACCGGTGTTGAAACTCTGTTGAGCCATTATTCCTACCTGGCAACCATCTGCTGGAATCAGGCCATCACCGCCTCCCTCAGATAAGGCAGGGACCGCCTCTGCCTGACATGACTCTCTCACTCATTTATACTATCAGCCCAGTCAGGAAAAGCATTCAATTTTGCAACCTCTGCTTTAAACCATATTTTCTTATCATGTGTGATGAGAAATTAATGGGAATTTATACTCAAAATTACAGATTTTGGAAGACCAAATAAGAGTTCGAGACCAGGCGGCCACAGGAACTAATTTTGCAGTACAGGAGCTAAACACCAAACACCTTCAAGGAGTTGGAGATCTTCGAGGAAGAGTAGCCAGGTGAGAAGAAGCATCTAACAGTCAGTTATTGCCCACTGAATTCTTATTCCCAAATAAGTTCCATACACTAGAAAAGTAGATATTGTCTTTACATTAGGCTAAACTATCAGGTGGTAGTTGAGAAAGTATAGGATAAATTTGAAAGCTTTATTCCACCTGTGAGACTCAAGGGGTCTTATAAAAGACCCCTTATATACAACGTCCAGTTTGGTTCCATCTGAAAGTGACAAGAATCATCTTGTCCATAAAGCCCTCGAGTGTCCAAATGCCAACATCTATACAAAGACATGGCCTCACAGCCACAAACAAAATCCCCAAATGTGTCAAATTCTAACAATTAAAACATTTAAAATATATAAGATTGACATATAAAAGTCTAACAAAAGAGACTTACTTTCAAATGGATAAAATTTTGAGTAACATCTTTCATATGATATTTCCAAATCAAAAGAATTAATGCTATGTGGGTTAGCAAAAATCTGTGGGTGTTGACAATGGCAGGACCATTCTAGTAGGCATATCAAAGATCACTTGTGAATCACTGACTTAGACACTTTTGCAACTCTACATCTTCCACCAGCACCTCATTCTTCTCTCCTGGAATACCTGACCTTCATCTCGTTCATCTGCTCTGAAGTGTTAGTGACCACATAAGAATTAGGTGATAAACTTCTTTTAGACAGTCTACAACAAAAAATGTGTTAAGCTACATGCTGTATGCCATATAACCGTATGCCCAGACAGTGTGCTAGAGTTCAGAGATTCAATACATGGTTCCCTTCCAATTTGCCAAAACCCCAGGTTTGTGTGTACCTGGGAAAATAACTCCAAATATAAGGAATTAGATGAACACTACAATGAGAGCCTGTGGTGCCATGGGAACACCCAAATTAGATTGAGGCATAGGGAAGTCTTCCTGGAGGAGGTAACAGTTGAGATGAGTTTTGAAGGATCCATAGCTAGTTAGCTGGACAAGGAAGGATGGAAAATGCACTTCATTTAGGAGGAATAATATGTGCAAAATACATCAGGGATGAATTACTGTGGCATGTTCAAGGGGCTACTCGTGAGAATGGTGTTTTAGTTTTGGTATTTTGGGGTTTGCATTTAGGAAGAGGTGGGAGATGAACCTCACAAATGGTCTAGGTTAGAGACTGAGGAGTCTTGTGGGCCACAGTAAGAAGTTTGAACTTTAAGTAGAACATTATAAATAACCACGGGAATATTTTAAGTAAGGGGGTGACATATTTAGCAACATTCTCTAGTAGCTGAATTGCTGGGGTGTGGAAAGGAAGGTGAAAATGAAAGGAAGGCTACTGCAGCAATCAAAGTGACAAATGTGAAGGGCTTCAACTAAAGCACTACCCATGAAAGGCCAGAGCAGGTAACAGACATTAGGAAAACAATCTATAAGAATAGTACCTATGTGTATACACACAGGTATGCAATTATATTATTTATAAATATATGTTTATGCATCAAAATATACAAAATTCTGTATTTCACTATATAGTGTTTGATACACATAAAGGGCATTTTATAATATCTGGATAAGTCATGAAGCAAGATAATAAAACAAACACTAGCAAACCCACAATCATACTTAGATGTGCCATGATTTCGCAAAGATAAACGCCAAACTTTTGTTTTGCATAAAACTTGGAATTTGGTTTCATTTGGTGGTATGTTGATGATGCCCCAACTATTTTTTTCTGCAAACCGCTTACAAACCTACTATACTATTTTTGTAAATCTTGCCTTACATATAAGATTTAAATGAAACCAAGACATGAGTGGAATACTATCAAGAACAAGATGCACAATTCTTTTTGCTCTGCTTCAGTTTATTTTTTTTGTCTTTCTTAAAAACAAAAATTATATTTGAAGTCTATACATGATGACTTAATAGATACATGTGCATACTAAAATGGTTACTATAGTCAAGCTAATTAATATATCTTCTCTTCACATAGTTACTATCTTGTGCATGTGATAAGAGCATTTAAAATCTACATTCTTAGCATATTTCCATTCTTCAACACAATATTATTAACTATAGTCATCTCTAGGTATATTTTTCCTACCTAACTATAACTTTGTACTCGTCAACCGACGTTTCCACATTTCCTCCACCTCCTCACACTGGAAACCACCATTCTACTCTCTGCTTTTATGTATTTGACTTTTTCAGATTCTATATAAGATCCTGTGGTTTTTGTCTTTCTGCGCCTACCTTAATTAACTTAGCATAATGTCCTCCGGCTTCATTCACGTATTCGCGAATGGCAATATCCCCTTTTTGAGTCTAAATAATTATTAAAATGTGTGTGTGCTTGTGTGGGTATTTCACAATTTCTTTATCCATTCATCTGTCAACAGACATATTTTGGCTATTGTGAATATTGCTGCAATGAGCGTGGGAGTGCAGATATTTCTTCCAAGTACTGACTTCATTTCCTTTGGATATAGATCCAGAAGAGGGGTTGATGGATGATGTCAGAGTTTTATTTTCAGTTTTCTGAAGAACCTTCATCCTGTTTTCTATAATGGCTCTACCAATCTATATTCTTACCAAAACTATACAAGTGTTTCCTTTTCTCCACATACTAGTCACCATTTGTTATCTTTTTATTACTTTGGTAATAGCCATCCTAACAGGTGTAAGATGGTATCTCCTTGTGGTTTTCATTTATAGTCTGCTGATGATCAGTGATGTTAGGGGCCTCTTCACGTACCTGCTGGTCATTTGCATGTCATCTTTGAATAAATGTCTATTCAGATCCTTTGTCCATTTTTTAATGTTGTGGTGGTTCAAAGCTCCCTCTTTGTGCTTGTTTGTTTGTTTGTTTGTTTGTTTGTTTTGGTCCCAAAGGACTTGCAAATGAGCCCATCAGCTCTCAGAGCTGGGTGATTTGGAAGCCAGTCTTTCCAGTGGCAGCTATAAAAGTCGGGGTGCTAGATGTGTGGTCCAAACCCTTCACTCCTCAGGGAGAAGCTGGGATTTCGGGGTCCCCTCCCAATTGTAAGGAAGGCACTGTGCCAAGAAGATTTACAGCATAAATGTGTCAGCTTTTCCTATTCACTTCAATTTGGGTGTTTTCTTAGTTGCCTGTTATGTAGGAGTCTTTAAATTAGTTTCTGGATTTTTCTCCGAGGAAACCGATCAGTGTATAGCTATTTATTTGGTGCATTCACAGGAGGAGGAGAAACCAAGAGCCTTCTATTCCTCCATTTTCTTCTTCAATTGTTTAATTACCTTCCCCTTGAATCCTACATAGTGATTTTCAGACAAGGATCATATTTTTTTCCTTGGAATGTCTCTGTTTTATGAAAATTTCTTAAATCTATTTGTTAATCTGAGACAGAATCTGGCTAAAAGTCATAAGACTTAAATTCACTTCCTCTCCTGTTTCGTATATTTTTGTCATGTAAGTGACTAATGAACAAGCTGAGACTGAATTAATTACTGTCTTTCCACATATATTGACCTTCATTCCAATTAGTATCTTAGCATAACTGAGATTAAGCTGATTATTTCAACATAATTCCTAACAAACATTTTACAGCTGCATAAATCAAACACAATATCTAATAATGAGAATGTGCTTTGAATTTTGTACTTTATTTCTTACTCCAAAACATTGGCAGTTTAAAAGCAAGTGTTTCCAATGACATGAGGTTCTCAAAGTTGTCTGGCCTGCTTTGATACCCTCTTTTCTATTCAGTAGATCATAGTCTCAAGTGCAAATAAGGAAAAGCAAATATGTAAAGAATACCCACAGGGATGGCTATGATTCACAGTCTGCAGCAGCAGCCAAAGGAGGCCAAACTTCTAGCCACATTTGGCTATTTGGGACCCAAAGGAGGATTTGCTTATGAAAAAATAATGAATTGTGTTGATATGTGATTAAAAGCAGAGGCCATATCCTTTGGAGAAACAATAAAGATACCATGGATATTGTCAACTTCTGGAAAGCTAAGAGTAGGAACTTCTGATTATAATGGTTGAATAAAAATATTTTTACTTCACTTCTCTCACTTGAGATACCTTAAAAGCCAGTTAAAAATAAAAGAAGGGAAACAAAAGCTCCATCTTTAATATAACTTGGAAGTCGCTAACCACAAACAGAGTACACTTCCCAAGTTCTATGGTGTCTGGTCCTCCTCAGATCTTAAACATAATGATTTGCTCCAAATCAAGAGTAATAATCCTAAAAGGCATAGGCCAAATAATTTGTATGGAGCAATATTACCTCAGGGCTCATGTGGGTCATGGGAGAGATAAGAATGTCCCTTTAGAGGTTCAGGTCAGTAACACAGAGCAGCTGGGGAGTGTATCTGAGGATCCAATCATGTTATTAATCATCTAGGCCCTGGTGCTTGCAAACTGACACCCGAGAGAAATGGGGTGGTGCTATAGGCAGAGGAGGTGGAGGAGGCCTAGAGTGTCACAACAGAGACTGTAGGACTCAATGATTGGCTGTGAAACACAGCAATCTAGTTTTTGAAGAGAAAAATGGGGAAATGGACCCCCCATTTCACCATCATTCAGAGATGTAAGAGTGATAGTTAGGAAGAATCTAGGCTATGCACAAAAATCACCACCACCACCACCAAGAGACTGACAGAGACAGAAAAAACATAAGGCCAATGAACACACCTTAATGAGAGGAATTACCCCAAAAAACACACCAAAATTTCTCCTGGTTTCAAAGAAGAACAAAAGGAAGAGCTAAAAGAAGATTGTTGAGTGAACAGTCACATGTGGTTTTGCTCTTTTCTAAAATCCCACTAAATCTAGCAAAAAAAAAAAAAAAAAAACTTTCTCTTGAAAACATATCCACAAAGACAGAGGCTATGAGCATAAAAATCTTGGAACCTAGAAAATAGACAAGACGTGTGGAAACGGACTTAGCAGGCCTCATAAAATCAATTTTAAACCTGTGGGATAAGCAGGGAATGATCTGGTTTTACACATTCTCCACAGAATTCTCAAAAGGCATAGGAGTTGGCTGCACCAGAAACCTCTGAAACTGGGGGTGAAGATGGGCACTTGTCTGCAGGGAGGCCTGAGAAGAGCACAGAGAGACAGAGCAAGGAGCCATCTTCAGTTTGTTATTAGCCTTTTTTTAGTTTGTATTGACCTCTAAACTATAGGCATGTTTTAGTTTCATAAAATAAAAACTATTTTTTAAAAAAGGATTCCCCCAAAAGAGATTATCACCTAAAAAAACAAGATAAACTGGAGTTGCTCAGGAATAAGGTGGGGGGGGGACCCGAAATATTACAGAGATTAAATATGCTTTGGAAGCCCTCCAAATGGAAAAAATACAACTAAAATAAATAATAATTTCTTTAAAAAAAAAAGAAAGCAAACGTGAGCCAACCATACAAAATGAAGAGAAAACAATTTTCGATATAAAAATGGTCATAGAAAAATGATACCTACAACAGACAAGTAAAACTCATTCAACTTAGACCCTATAGGACTCCCTCAGCAGGAAAGAGAATGGATTCTTCAGGGAAAAATTATGCATGGGTATAAGAGAAGAAAACTTTCTTGAAACAGATTTGAATCCATAAATGAGACTGTGAACCCAGAAACATTGCAATGAGAACAATGGAATCAAGAGATCCTGGTTGAAGGATCATCAGAAATAATTACTAGGCAGCCAGGTAGACAAGTCAGCCTGTGGCCTTAGGCCAGCGGTGGGGTCTTGCGTGGGAAGACAGGAAGGAATAAATGAAGCTGCTGATGCAGTGGGGGTGCTTCCCCAGCACCAGGGACTGGCTACACCCTGTCTAGTCATGACCTCCGTTCATCCTTAAATAACCCCACTCAGAGACATTTTTCAGGATAGCCACTCATGCTTTTGAAGGTTGAGAAGCAACCCTGGAGACACTAGTTATGTCTCTTGTGTCCATGTGTCCATGTGTCTGGCAACCCTGGGCTTGTATGGTAGACAAACTGCAGTGACAGGCAGTGACCTTGGTCTGTCCTTACTCACTTTTCTCAGTTAAGGAAAACTGAAACTCATGGACCTTAAGAAACTTGTCCCAGGGGCGCCTGGGTAGCTCACTGGTTGAGCGGCTGCCTTTGGCTCAGGTCATGATCCCAGGGTCCTGGGATTGAGTTCCGCAGTGGGCTCCCTGGGAGGAGCCTCCTTCTCCCTCTGCCTGTGTCTCTGCCTCTCTCTGTGTGTCCCTCATGAATAAATAAGTAAAATCTTTAAAAAAAAAAAAAAAAGAAAAGAAAAGAAAGAAAAATAAAGAAAAGAAGGTTTTCCCAGCTTGCAAAGCTCAAAAGTGGCAGATTCAACGCCAGGTTCCATGTGACACCACAGACCAGTTCTTAACCATTTGTCTATAAGGTGCAGAGCAGCTGTCTCTGAAGGTCGAACAAGGAGGGCATTGGGTGAGAAGTGACAGGGAGCGACGACAGCAGCAACTGTTTCGATGTAATCTTTAGGGAGCTTCACACAGATCCACGTAACAATATCCTAACTAATGGACAACAGAGCTTGTTTTGACAGCAACAGTTTATATGCACAAAAGTGCTAATGGCTTTTGCCCATGACTTTGGTGCATTCAAGCCAGCTCCCATTCTGATCAGCTTAATTCCAAATTTTTCCTCCCAGCAGTCTCTCCACTCCCACAACTGTCCCCTGGTATCTCTTGAAGGGATTTCTCAGGCAAAATTACCATCTTACTCACTTTTGGCTCAGCTTTGGCACCAAAAATCTGAAAAAACAAATTCATTTCCAGATCCTAAAAGATATTGACAGCTATAAAACAATATTTATAGCACTTAGCAATGACAACATGACAATAAGCTTCCTAATAAATATCATTTTAGGACAGTCAAAAGAGTTATTTTATAAAATTACAAACCACAGAGTGATCTCTGATAACTTTGTACAAAGAACAGCATCCTACACTCTATCTTTCATGCATATAGGACTATATTGAAATTATAATACAATATGCAACCTGTTGTCTCCCAGGAGAAGCCTTGAGTGGTGTTAGTGGGGTGGGGTTCCCTGACAGGCTGGGAAGATGCTTAATCTTCAACTCCAGCCCCATTTCACTAGAATTCCTTCCTTAAGAAAACAAATGCAACTTTATGGGCCAAAACTTCATTCACATGTTAGTGTGAACTGCTTTCATCCTATTATAAGACAATTCTTGACTGAGACCACTCAAGGAGCTGGATTTTTTATTGGGGCTAAGAGGAGGGGAATTGTTTTTTTGAAGATGGGTTGGAAGATGATGGTGACCTAGGACTCTTTGTAGTCAGAGGAGAAATGACAATCTTGAGATCAATGAAAGAGACTAAATGGGGGAAAGTGACTTCAGAATGTAGTATAGAACAGGCAAAAGTTTCAATTTTGCCTACACCACAGGCAGCAGGGAGTATTCCCAGCATTAAAATCTACTGGAACTCCTGTGATTGAATAAATATATCAGACTGAAAATCTAAAATCCCTCCCATTTTCTCCCCATGCCTTCATCTACTCCAACCCAGTTCTTTGATATCAATGTATCATTTTCCAACCTGGTTTCTCTCCCATCAGGAAAAGAAGAGAAAAATGAAGATTTCTGCCGTTGTTCTACATCTACTAACTCATTATTCAAAGAACTTTAGAACTTTTATCATCAGGTGAATGCACACATCCTACTGTAGTATTAAAAGTGTTTGAGCCTATTGATCTCACAACCAATTTTCGTCTTGCTGCTAGATGTGACTCCAGCATTGTGAAACTTTCTGGAGACATTCACTTCATCAGGCACGAGCACCGGAAAATTGAAAAAACAATTCAAGATTTCATGTCTGCCCTAGAAACTGTTTCTAAGAACTTGGATATAAAGGTAACTGAAATTATTTGGAACTCTTCTTTTGCTTGTTTTTTGTTTTTTTAAGATTTTATTTATTTATTCATGAGAGACACAGAGAGAGAGAGACAGAGAGACACAGACAGAGGGAGAAGCAGGCTCCCCACAGGGAGCCTAATGCGGACCTCGATCCCAGAACCCCAGGATCACGCCCTGAGCCAAAGGCAGACGCTCAACCACTGAGCCACCCAGGCATCCCAATATTGGAACTCTTCCCTTATGTGTTATTGCCAGAAGATCATTATAGCTTATCAAAATGCCTAGTCACATGGTAATCTTTCAAAAGAGCGCTTTTCTTCAAAAGAGTTTAAATATGACACTGTCATATTAAAATGTGCCATTAAATATGACACTGTCAGTTGAATTAATAAATATTTAATGAGCACCCCCCCCCATGTTCTAACACAGCTACCCACTGTAAGCCTGTGCTACTTGATTCCACTGTTGCTGTTATTCCCTTCCTCTCTGGGTTTCCTCAGATCGTAGAACCAAGGATTATAAGCAAAGCAATATGTCACGGAAACTATGATTATTAAAGATGTGAGCTAAGTGCGAATTGAGTCTGTTACAGCCCTACGATAGGTTATGTCTCTCACAAAATAACGTACAAATCCATTGGCCTGGTTTTAAAGGCCATCTCTACACGGGGCCCCTGCTTGTCTCTTTAGTTCACCCCATGTTTCCTGGCTCACCCTGCACACCCAGTCATACTAAACAACCTGCAGGTAGGTCCCTACTAACTCTAACATGTTGTGTGGCCTCCATAATATATGTGCTCTTTTCTGCCTGAAATCCCTCTCCTTTTTCATCTTCCAGTCAATGGCTTAATTAAAGGAGCTAGTGAGAATTCGTCTGTGTCCTTGTCACATAATTTTATTCATTTATTTCTTTACTTATTTTAGAGAGAGAGCATGAGCAGGAGGTGGGGGTTGGGAGAGAGAGAGAGAGAGAATCTTAAGCAGGCTTCACATTCAGTTCAGAGTCAAGTGTGGGGTTCAATCTCAAGAGCCTGAGATCATTACCTGAGCCAAGATCAAGAGTCAGACACTTAACCCACTGAGTCACCCAGGTGCCCCACTTTCTTGCATATCTTATGTAATGACAAGCACATCTCCTCTGAAGTCATTTGGGCAGAACAAAGTGGAAAGAAATCCTTTGGGAATTGGGGGAGAAGAAAGTTCAGTGTTTGATTATTTGTTCATAGGAGCCAATTTATCAAAAGCAGAAGCTTCACATAGTTTACTGTAGCACCTATGGACTCACCTTGCCCACACCTACACACATCTAACTAAGTCCTAATAGTTTTTTGGTAGATTCTCTTTGTTTTTCAATATATTCAGTCATGGGGCACCTGGGTCCCAGGAGGATTGAGCCCCTCGTCGGGCTCCCTGCTCAGTGGGGAGTCTGCTTCTCCCTCTCCCTCTCCCTGCCACTCCCCCTGCTTGTGCTCTCTCCCTCTCTCTCAAATAAATCTTTTTTTAAAAATATTTTTTTTAAATTTTATTTATTTATGATAGGCACACAGTGAGAGAGAGAGAGAGGCAGAGACACAGGCAGAGGGAGAAGCAGGCTCCATGCACCGGGAGCCCGATGTGGGACTCGATCCCGGATCTTCAGGATCGCGCCCTGGGCCAAAGGCAGGCGCTAAACCGCTGCGCCACCCAGGGACCCTCAAATAAATCTTTTAAAAAATATTCATTCATAACAACAACAAATCATAACCACTTTATCTGCGGTTTTCTGATTGAAAACCTCAGTACTTTTTTCATAAGGTCATGACCAGAACTTCCAGATCACTGTTAAATAAAATGTGTTGGTCATAAATGGTCATAATGTGTTGGACTATGAAAAGGTCATAGAGGGCACCTTCTCCAGTTTCTGATTGTACTGGGGACGTCTTTGTTGTTTGCTGTTGGCCACTGGCTTGATATTTAACCATGCTAAGGAAGTATCAATTTCTACTTACTTCCATTAGTTTTTATTAGTATTTAGTTTTTATTAGGACTGAATATTTAACTTTATAAATTGCCTTGTAGACATCAACAAATGCCTAAATCATCATATTAGTTGTTTTTTGGTTTGGGTTTTTATTTATTCACTTGTTTACCTCTTTGGATTTCTAATGTCCTAGGCCAATACATTTCCCAATACTGAAACATTCATGCATTTTCTGCCATATAGTCACTGGGTAATCATTCAGCATTTGACTTTGCATCTAAGTTCAAAAGTGACATTGACTATAGTTCTCCTTAGTTTTTGGGATTTTTTTTTTTAGGTAATAATATGATATGTATGGCTTACAAACCAAAACTATATAAGAAAATTTGGGTTGCCAGAGTGGCTCAGTTGGTTAAGTGTCCAACTCTTGATTTTGGTTTGAGTCATGATCTCAAGGTCATGATACTGAGCCCCAAGTTGGGCTCCATAGTCAATAGGGAATCTGCTTGAGATGCTCTCCCACTCCCTCTTCCTCCCCCCCACCCACTGTGCCATGACTGTCTCTCAAATAAATACATCTTTTAAAAGAAAGAAAATGTACACTGAGAATTTTCATGGCTACCTCTGTCACCAATTATCACATTCTTTGTTTCCCTCATGAAAACCATTTTTATTATTCTGTTCAGGATTCTTTCAGTATGCCCTTATGCAGATACAAGCAAATGCAACTATAATCTTATTTCCTCCTTTTTACAAAAGAGATAGTATTTTATATACTACTATACTGCACCTATTTTATCTTTTTTTTAATATAAATTTTACTCAGTTAACATGCAATGCAATATTAGTTTCTGGAGTAAAATTCAGTGATTCATCACTTACATACAACACCCAGGGCTTAATACCCTTCACCCATCTATCCTATCCCCCCCACCACCTCCCTCCGTCAACCCTTAGATTGTTCCGTAAGAGTCTCTTATGGTTTATTGCCCTCTCTCCCTCCCTCCCCTGCCCTTGCCATACATTCATCTGTTTTCTATCTTAAATTCCACATATGAGTTAAACCATATATTTGTCTTTCTCTAACTTATTTCACTTAGCATAACACACTCTAGCTCCATCTATGTTGTTGTAAATGGCAAGATTTCATTCTTTTTTGATGGGTAAGTTATATACATATGTGTGTGTATATATATATATGTGCGTGTACACACACACATCTTTATTCATTCATCAGTCAATGGACATTTGGACTCTCTCCATAGTTTGGCTATTGTTGATAATGCTGCTGTAAACACGGTGCATGTGCTCCTTCAAATCTGTATTTTGTTTCCTTTGGATAAATGGCTAATAGTGCAATTGCTGGGTCATAGGGTAGTTCTATTTTTAACTTTCTGAGGAACCTCCATACTGTTCTCCAGCGTGGTTCCAATTTGCGTTCTCATGAACAGTGCAAGAAGGTTCCCCTTTCTCTGCATCCTTGCCAACACCTTTTGTTTCCGGTGTTGCTAATGTTAGCCACTGTGACAGATGTGAGGTGGTATCTCATTGTGGTTTTGAGTTATAGTCCCTGATGAGCAATGTTGAGCATCTTCACACATGTCTGTTATTCTTCTGATGTTTTCTTTGGAAAAATGTCTATTCATATCTTCTGCCCATTTCTTAGCTGGATCATTTGGTTTTTGAGTATTGAGTTCGATAAGCTCTTTATAGATTTTTGGATACTAACCCTTTACCTGATAGGTCATTTACAAATATCTTCTCCCATTCCATATGCTGCCTTGGAGTTTTGTTGATTGTTTTCTTCAATGTGCAGAAGCTTTTTATCTTAATGAAGTCTCAGTACTTTATTTTTGCCTTCGTTTCCCTTACTTCTGGTAAGGTGTCTAGTAAGAATTTGCTACAGCTGAGGTCAAAGAGGTTGCAGCCTGTATTCTCGTCTGGAATTTTGATGGATTCCTGGCTAACTTTTAGGTCTTTTTTTTTCCCCCCACTCCTATTTGGAGGTAATATAGGTAATATCTTTTTTCATCCTTTCCCTTTATTTTTTTTGTATATTTTTTATTGGAGTTCGATTTGCCAACATATAGTATAACACCCAGTGATCATCCTGTCAAGTGCCCCTCTCAGTGCCCGTCACCCAGTCACCCTGCCACCCTGCCCACCTCCCTTTCCACTATCCCTTGTTCATTTCCCAGAGTTAGGAGTCTCTCATGTTCTGTCTCCCTCATTGATATTTCCCACTCATTTTCTATCCTTTCCCCTTTATTCCCTTTCACTATTTTTTATATTCCCCAAATGAATGAGAACATATAATGTTTGTCCTTCTCCGATTGACTTACTTCACTCAGCATAATATCCTCCAGTTCCATCCACATCGAAGCAAATGGTAGGTATTCATCCTTTCTAATGGCTGAGTAATATTCCATTGTTTCTATAGATCACATCTTCTTTATTCATTCATCTGTCGATGGACACTGAGGCTCCTTCCACAGTATGGTTATTGTGGACATGGCTGCTATAAACATTGGGGTGCAGGTGTCTCAGTCTTTCACTGCATCTGTATCTTTGGGGTAAATCCCCAGCAGTGCAATTGCTGGGTACATTTAGGTCTTTATCTTACTTTTTCTTACCTAAACAAATGTATCCCGGAGATCACCCATATTAGTACATGGAAAATTTTCTCATTTTTACAACTGCATACTCTTCCTGTCCATATAATAGCTCATTTTACCAGTCTCTCACAGATGGATATTTGGGCTATTTTCAATATTTTTCTGTTTCAAATCAATACTGCAATGTGTAACCTTGCACTTATGTTTGTGTGTTGTGTATATAGGTGTGTTTGTAGGATCAACACCCAGATGTGTGATTGCTGGGTCAAAGTACATGTTTATTATTTTGAATGATTTGCACTCTGTGGGGCTTTGACCATATTGCACAGCTCCTGGCAATACGAAAAATGACCTATATATCCCCATTGCCTCACCAACAGTGTTGACTTTTGAATTTCGTCATTCTTATAGGAAAAAACTATA